ATCCATCCATCCATCCATCCATCCATCCATCCATCCATCCATCCATCCATCCATCCATCCATCCATCCATCCATCCCATCCATCCATCCATCCATCCATCCATCCATCATCCATCCATCCATCCATCCATCCATCCATCCATCCATCCATCCATCCATCCATCCGTTCAGACCTTGGTTTCTTCCTCAATGTTCTCATCCATGCATCAGTTCAGACCTTGGTTTCTTCCTCAATGTTCTCATTTTCTCATCATGTGATGAATTGTGTGTCTGCAGCTTATCAGGCTGTTTGGTCTCAGAGGAAGGCTGTGCTTCTCTGGCCTCAGCTCTGACCTCCACCCCTCCCATCTGAAAGAGTTGGACCTGAGCTACAATCATCCAGGAGACTCAGGAGTGAAGCTGCTGTCGGCTGGACTGAAGGATCCACACTGGAGACTGGAAGCTCTCAGGTATGGAGGAACCTGCTGCAGGAGCAGAGAAGGTCTGATAGAGGAGGAAGAGGGAGAAATGTCTTTAGTCAGTCTGCTGGGAAACATTTAGTTTGAAGATTAAAAATTATTATGCTAATTCAGTATCTGGCTTGTATTTATTACAGTGAAATTATAAATATTGCTGGTAATTTTGGCTTTGTAAGTTTGCAAACTGCATACAATTAAAAACTATAAGAATCTTTCACATGGTTCTGAATGAACCTGGGAAACCAACCCATCTACTGAACCACAATAACATGGTATTCAGAGCAGCAGGGGGCCAAATATAGCTCCATGTGGAACCAAGAGGTTGGAGAGAGAAAATCAGTTGAAACTGTTTCCTATCAGAGTTCAGTTTGTCTCTCTGTCTTCACAAACCAGGAGCATCGTGGGCTGGGCGGGGCTTCCACTGATGGATCTACTGAGGAAATACAAGAAGCTGATTGGCTGATGGACAGGAAGTTAAAATATGAAGATTAATAACATCATAAATCAGATATTATTGGTGTTGTGTATAGATGTAGTGCTGGATCACATGGTGTTATTAGTGATTATAGATCAGCTGTTGCTCACCTGGTGACTTTAGTCAGTGATGATGGAGGAGGTTTAGTTTTTACTGATCACTTTAAGCTTTTATGTTTTTATCTCTGATCTTTGTTTAAACCTGTTAATCTGGTTTTAATGCTTTTGGACACAAATATCTGTTATCCACTGATGTTCTGGATCTTTGATGATATTGAGGAAAATAAAATCATCTTAACTGCAGATTGGATTTAAGTTTTGATCAGAGATTTTGTTTGACAGTCGCTAATAATTGGTAATAAAGAGACATGGCTGAGAGCAAATATAGATTTTAGAATCAGTTTAAAAGAAAGAAGAAACATGAATAGAGGAACTGATCAAGAAAGATATAATTATTATCAATAACATGTAGTAACTTTAATGCATATGGAATATAATGGGATGGAAACAGAAAACTGAAAGTAACTGAAAGAGCAGAAGAACATTTAGAGATACGAACTGATGATGTTTGAATGATGGAAAAGAGACAAAAGATGTTGATGAAGGAAACGGATCAGTTCTTGATTTAACACTTGTTAGGGTTTACACCTGTTAAACATACATTAACAAAGACAGAAAAGACAAAAGAGTTAGATTCTTTTTCACTCGCGAGGAGAACGGACAGAGATGTGCTTCAGTTACAATCTCCTACCGCTCTGAAGCATATTTTGTCTGCTCCTCTATTTTATTGTTTCTAGGATCCCTAATCACAAGGACGCTGTAGCTATAAAGGGAGGGGGCAAACAGCTACAGCGTCAAATGTTATTCACTAACTAACACACAGTCATTCTGCACTAGATAATCTCCTTCCAGGCACAAAGATTAATAAAATATGTAGTGATCTTAGCAATGATGGTTTTATTGGAGGCCAGCAACTCAACCGAAGCAGAGCTCTTCACCAAGAGGTAAACCTGCAGGAAGATTTTGTTTCTGCTCTCTGTCAGTGAGGCCTTCTGAGAAAAGAATCAGAGTAAATCAACAATACAAGGAACATTCTTAATTCTATAATGAGATTAACTTTAAGGAAAGCATCAATTAAAGATACATTATAAAGATCAATGAGAATAACAAATAATTGATTAATAATATCACAATTTCTCCAACATTTCCCCCTGTTTATCAAATATTTGTTCTAATTCTCATATCTCTCCTAAACAGCCACTTCGAACAATTTTCAACTAGGAGTTCATCTTTTAAGAAAGCAAACATGTTTACACTCAAGGTTTATACTCAGTCCAAAACTTAGAATCAGGAAACACATCAAAAGAGTCCTCATCAGAGCTTTTTCTGTCAGACTCAGGTTCTCTCGCCAATAAGGGATACATCGGCATCATCTGGTTCCCCATGGGCTAAATTGCTGTAGTGATGAGACTATTAAACAAAGAACGCAGGCAAGGAATACAACAGCATCCACACAAGGTTAGAATGGCAGCAAAGACTGCCATCGACACTAAAGCAGAGGACACAAGGGTTCGGTTCTTCCAAAAACATTCATCCAGTCGTCCCACCTGGAAGTATTCACTCCAGAGAACTCCTTCAGCTTACCATTAAGGGTACGGAGCCCCTCAATGGCCTTTGTCAGGCTGCCATCAGCCGCTATATTGCTGGGTAGAAAAGTGCAGCATCTTTCACCAAAGATTGCACACACTCCCCCTCGTTCAGCCAGCACCATGTCAAGTGCAATGCGGTTCTGGAAAGCCATCAGTGATGTAGCGGCCAGCTGCTCATGCACCGCCTCGAAGCCTGCCTGTGTCCAGTTGCCCAGTTTTTGTACATTGTAATGGATGTAGTTGATTCTGTCAACGTTTTTGTTTAATGTACACCACCAACAAATTGTGGACTCAAATCCTGCTGCAATTTGGTCGGCCAATTTATACTCATCTGGTACACCACGGGGAACACCAATGGCATCGATGTATGTAGGATCATTGTTCCTCCAGGTCAGGTCTCGCTTCTGCAACTGACGTCACTGCTGAGGCACAACATCAGTTAAAGCATGAATTAGATGATCAGCAGTCATTGGATAAACAGAAACAGGCAATAATAAAGAAATTAATGCAGACATCCCTGTTACCTTCCTAGGTAATCTATTAAAAGTTTTGTCACCACTGCACCACCACCAGACATCTGCACGAAAGACAGGGTTAAATTCATTGTTCACAGAGAGAACAGTTCGGTGTTAAAACATCATTTGTCATACATCAAGTTTAATCTCTGTATTTTGCTGATGTCATACTTGCCCAGGAGACTAAAACAATGATAACAGAACTAGGTGGAAAACACACCTGAATACTCATCCTCATTCTGTAAACAGTGCTACAAGAAATACATTTTTATTCGTGACGTGAATTGTTCCCAGATGAAAACACAAAATAAAAACAAAAAGATATATTCGCTTGTTATTTTCATTAATGTGCAAGTCCGTTCTGCTCCTAAAGACACTACAGGGTTGTGGACAATCTTCACCAGTTTTGAGACGGAAAAACTATTTGGTTTAACCCCCTTTGTAACCTGGACTTTGCCCTGTAGGTCGGTGAGCGTCTTGAGCTTGCTTCCCAATTACTTTTGAAATTAAATTCCTTTTTGCACTGTGTTAAATGTATCCAAGTTGGCTTTTCCGCTGCATCTGGGTTTTTAGTGAAATGTTCAAACCATTTAGAAAAGCATCAATTATTTCTAAACAATACTTCACTTTTATTCAATTCTATGAAGTCCATGTGCATTACTTGAAATGGATATTGCAGAGTAGGAAACTTTCCTCTAAGTGATCTTAGATTGCCCTGAGAGTTATGTTTTGCACATATCAAACAGGTCCTACAGAATTTTTTTTTAAATAAGAAATAAATCCATAAGTAGTGTAATGTTGATGTATCCTACCATCCCCCCTTTGAGACATGCGAAACGCCATGGCTCAATATTGCAGCCCATTTATACACATCTTTTTCTTGGTAAAATAGGTTTAGTTTCATATAATTTTCCAATTTTGCTCCATTTTTTTTTATCCATAAATCCTTTTCATTTTGAGGACTTAATTGTTGCATGTCTCTTAAAGTTTCTTTCATAAATTTAAATTTTACGTCCACATGTAATACATTTATCTCTCCCTCAGCTGCTTTTTTTTTTTTTTTTTTTTTTATTTTGTCTTCGAAAGCATTCCCTAAGGACACCTTATCTGTCCCTGCAGTGTGCGCCGCACATTTACAGATTGCTAGTTGTTTTGGTAGGTGCACGACTTGTAATAATTCTTTTAATAATTCTGCATGTGTTACTTTTGATGTTAATGGGTGAAAAAGAACTATAGGAGCTCTAACTTCTACTGCCATAGAAGCAGCAACTACAGCTCTCACACAATGTGGTAAGGCACATGCTACACTATCAAGTTTTGAAGAAAAATATGCTATTGGTCTCATTTTATCACCATGCTGTTAGACTAGCACCGAGGTCATGACATGACCTTTACAATCCACCATCTGAACAAAAGGTTTTTTTTATTGATAATCTGGTAACGCTAACGCAGCGCTTGACACGAGGGCCTGTTTAGTTTCCAAAGTGCTTCTTCTGCTTCATCTGCCCACAACAAAGAAGAAGACATTTTAAAATCTTTTTTATACATTAATTTATTCAGAGCTGCCACAATTTCTGCATAATTAGGCACCCAGTTTCGACAATAGTTAGTCAACCCCAAAAAGGACATCATCTGTTTTTTTTTTTTTGTGGTTTGGGAGCTTGGAGAATTGTCGTTTTTCTATCCTCCGCTATGGTTCGTCCTCCTTCACTCAAATTATGACCCAAATATTTTACTTGTCGTTTACACAGTTAAAGTTTATTTTGTTAACCTTATGACCTTATTTAGCTAAATGTTGCAGAAGCGCTAAAGTTTTGTTACAGGTTTCCCTGTCTGGAGAAACCAATAAAACATCAACTATGTACAACAAAACTTGGCTCCCTCCTGGGGGTTGAAAAGTTGACATACTTGCACTCATTACTTGAAAGAGAATTGTAGGGCTTTCACAGTAGCCTTGAAGTAGTCTGGTGTATGTGTATCTTTTCCCTTCAAAAGTAAAAGCAAACCAAAATTGGCTCTCTTTCTCAATTGGTATTGAGAAAAAGGCATTTACTGATGTCTACAACCGTGAATACTTTTGCATCTGATCTAAGAGAATTCAACAATGTGTGTGGATCAGGCACATGTTTTGTGTCTGTGTACAGATAGGTCACAGTTATCTTGGCTGGGGTGACCTTGTTGAGTCTCGCTTCATAGTTCCTATCAGGCCCAGGAACTGTTTTGAACCAAAGTGTGACATGCAAATCATCAGGAGACTTTTGATCCTGTAGGGCAGAAATGGCTTTATGCCTCTGCCAGAAGTGTTTGTGCAGTGTTGTGTGGGGGTTTGTTGGGCACATCCAATGAATAAAAGTAATACAGTTCCCTGTTGTCCCTGGACAACAAAGAAATCCCCTTCTTTTATTCCTGTAGCTGATCTTGACATTTTCACCAGTAATTTTTTACCCCAGGAATGTTTTCTCTACATGTTGTTCTACATACACCCGTGTCACAGAGGAAATGTACAGGTTCGCCATTTATAAGGAGAGTTTTTTTCAGGTCTTATGCTGTCCATTGAAAGTAAATCCTGAAGATTTAACTGGACCTCTTCACTCCCCAACTTCTCTAATCTTAGTCATGCTGATTGTCCTGTGTTGTTTTTTTTTTCTTTTTCTCGGGCAATTTCTGGCTAAATGTCCTTCCTGCCCGCAACACCAGCACCCTGAGTAGCTTTGCCTGTAGTTTCCTCTCCCCCGTCGCCCTTTTAAACCTCTAAGGTTCTGACCTCTGCCCCTAAAGCCTTCTCTTCCTCTCCTGTCCTCATAAAACACTTGTTCCTCATCCTGGAAAAAGGCTCCTGGAACCTTTTCCTTTTCTTTTGTAATTTCTTTCTCCCCACTCTCGTTTTTGCGCTACTAATTGTACATCATCATACCCTTCCTCGTACAATTTTTATTTGAATTTTTTTTTTTTTTTTTATTTTATCCTGATCTTTAATAACTTTCCAGTCGTTTGATTTTAGACTGTCTGTTGGCTTAGTTTTACTTATTCATTTCCCCATTTTTTTTTGTAAAAATTTGGACCAGTTTTGCCGACTCCTAGGGAGTCCTAGAAACTGGAGATCTGATTCAGTAGGCCAGCAATTGAAAGAACCTGTTGTGGTAACTCTCACTTCAACTCTTTCGAGTGGAGAGTTCTTGCCTGTGCATCCACAAGAGGTTTGCTGCTCACAATCCTACTGTTTTACATGAGATAAAATACCAAGTGGTATTTATACCTCCAATCACGCTCACATACACACACTTTTTTTTTTGTTTCACGGATTTGAAGCGCCTGTTATCGCCGTCCATTTAACCACGGGTATTCGTCGGGCCCCGTTCCCACAACAGGTGTTCGTAAGATCTCAAACCACGTGAGGTTGCAAAACCCCGAACCAGGTGAGGTTTGCAAGTCCTCGTCCCAGTAGGGTTTTACAAGACCTCCAGCGAGGTAAGGTTTACCAACCCTTATTTTCTAGTTTATTTTATTTTTTTTTTTGTCTTTCATTTTTTATTTTTATCTCTTACATACTGATACGGAACTTAAGCGCCTGTTTTCGCCGGACTCCGCAATCCGTTTAGCCTGCAGGTACTAGTTGAGCTACTGTTACTGCTCACAATAGTACAATTAGTAATTGGGCTGCTGTTACTGCCCAAAACAGTGCAGGTATTTGTTGGGCTACTGTTACTACCCACAATAGTACAATTGTTATTTGAGTTGCTGTTATTACCCAGAACAGTGCTGGTATTAGTTATTTGAGCTGCTATTACCCAGAACATTTCTAGTATTAGTTGGGCTGCTATCATTGCCCACAATAGTACAATTGTTGGTTCCCCAGAAACAGGACAAGGCCTCCAGCCTTGAAGCACCAGGCTCCGTTAGCCTATCCACGGATTTTGTGCATTACTTTTACCTGTTAGAGTCTAGAATTGACAGGGTTTCACTTGTGCGCGCAACAACCTTCAGTCAAAGAAGAAGTCACTCTTCTCTCACACAGAAGAATGACTTACTCTCTAAAACGTCATTCGCCACTTTTTAAAGAAGAATCACTCACCCTCTCTTGTCTTTCCCTGGAGTGTCGTCAACCTTCAGATCCCAGCAGGCAGGCCGAGCCCAGTCCTTTAACAGGTTCTCTTGCCGTGCGCACGGTCTTACTGGGGTCCGCCACCTGCCGGAATCTTTCCAGTATATGACATCCGGCTCGAAGGACCAAAAATGTTAGGGTTAACACCTGTTAAACATACATTAACAAAGACAGAAAAGACAAAGAGTTAGATTCTTTTTCACTCGCGAGGAGAACGGACAGAGATGTGCTTCAGTTACAATCTCCTACCGCTCTGAAGCACATTTTGTCTGCTCCTCTATTTTATTGTTTCTAGGATCCCTA